GAGTGTTCAGCATTGCTTGTGGTGTCCTCGGGGCTGGAGCTCCAGCACTCCCAAATTGCTCCAGATGAGGCTTATATGGGTCAATGCACATGATGCTCTCCTCCCTTCCCAAATTGCACCAGATCCCCTGCCTGTTCCCTTCCTGCGTCTGCCTCTGAAGTGCCTGGACCCCAAAAATGTCTCCTCTTCCCCATCTGTGCCATCTGGTCTGGTCCCCAAGGCTCAGCCCTGTGAGGGGGATGGGGCGACCTCCCTGCATGCCTCAGGGATGCACTTCAGAGATGACCACTCTCTTCTTAGAAATCCCACTGACCCCAGTGGAAGGGGGGGGAAACCCGTCACAGTCCCCTTTCACAATGCGAGCGGAAAGCCCCTTTCCTCACCCTCCCATGCCTCTTCTGGGGAGCAGAGGCGACTGGAGCAGCCTGTGCTTTCACCCACTTGGCACCCAGACAGCTGCCTGGAGGAGGCAGAGCTTCTCTTTCCTCCCCGTGTGTCGGCAGGGGCTGTGGGCAGCTCGAGGGCAGGGGGTCCCCTGCAGCCAGAGGTGGTTAAGGCATTTATCCCCAGAAGGATGTACTCCCGACATCAGACGTGCTCCATTTGGTGTGCAGCCAGCCAGGAGCCAGCAGCGGGTGGGAGACCCTTGTGCCCCACCTACTGTGGGGACCAGGACCCCAGCAGTGCCTGGAGGGGAGTCCCACGGGATGGGACCCCCAGCACCCCTTGACAGTGGGTCAGGGCTCTGCTCTTGGGACCCCGTCTTTGCAGGGGGATCCGTCCTGTCAGGCCATCCCCCAGGGAGGAGCTGGCTCTGGGCTAGGAGCGGTTGCTGCTAGAGTTCTGGCCACCAGCAGCCAGGAGCTGTCATCCTCCCTGCTGTGGCATCTCTTTGGCAGCGCCCTGGGGAGATCAAGCGGAGATCAGGTCCCAGAGCCAGCCTGCACCACCAAACCCGCAGGGAGGCTGGGGCTGATGAGTGATGCTAATCCTCCACCACCTAAATTCCCCTTCTGCCAGCCAAGATTTCTCTCCAATAGCTTGTGAGTGCTAGAAGAAGGCAGGTGCTGACTGAAGTTAAGCTGACACATCCTATTTGTGCTGCTCATCCTGCCCACCAGCCCCCAGCTAATCCCTTCCGCACAGCACTGGCTTGCCAGGGCACAGGAGCGGCTGGAGGCGATGCTCTCCTGATGGAGGAGACCATCCCATGCATGAGTCTGGTGCCAGTGCCAGTACAGGGATGGAGCACCTTGGCCAGTGGAATGGCTGGATTTTTCTGTTGCTTCTTACCCTGGAGTGGGGAAAGGGCAGAGCTCGCTGTCTTCTGCTGATGAGAGGACTAGAGGGACCTACTGAGGTCCTCAGGGTCCCAGCCCTGTGTCTTGTCCCCAGGTAGATATTTGTCCCTGTGGTAGGGCTGTGCAGCTCTCTCCACCAAGATACCAAGACAGCCCAAAGCTGGAGAGGGTGGGGGGATGGAGATCCTGCTCCAGGATTTGTTCACGCTTGTGGGGAAATATTTTTCCTGCTATCAATGGGAATTTCCCTGGGTGCAATTAATGCCGTTGCCTCTCATCCTGTCCCTGGGTCCCTCCAAGAAGAGCTTGGCTCTGGTATCTCTCCAAACCCCTATGAGGCTGCTGCTGACAGCAGTGAGACCCCCTTCACTGTTCCTTCCCTGGGCTGCACAGCCCCACTGCTCTCAGCATCCCTCATGGCACGTAGTAGGGCTGAAGCAGGCTGGGGAAGGGACATCATCACAGGTGGCACTGGCACGGTGGTGAATCATCATCC